CTTCACGCAGCTAACATCACTGGTGGAAACATTACGTTTATGTTTTACGACGGTTAAAATGTGTCATTTCGACTCACAAGTTTTCAGCAACACGGTAACGTTCGTAATGTTTACATTCCCACAATGCAATCGTGGAATGTCGCTTGACTACTCAACTTCCTCTGGATGTACTGATCTAAACTTACGCTGGTAGTAGAAATGCAACGTTCATATTGCCCCATATGGTTTACGTTAATGACAGATGTAATTAAAATAATTCAGAGAAGATATTTAATCCGAACGTAAACCGTCATCAAACTGTTATCATTTGTTTTTTTCTGGTAACGTTCGTCTTAACGTAGGGGCAGACACATCAATAGAACAGCGCGCCAGTTAGCCCTGTGCGAGGATTCTTAATTTAGGTCACCGACACCGTCGTTTGTTTTCTGCCTTAAATTAATCGTAATTATCTTTAGAAAGTATTAAATTTGGCATCTTAGAAAAGAAATACACTTCGCCTACCACCATGTATAGTGTAATAAAACACACTTTCGCACAGAACTATTATAACGTTAAAGCACTCGGACGCAAGCGTCCTCGTGCTTTAACTATAATAGTTCAGGGCAAAGTGTGTTTTATTACACTTACATGGTGGTAGAGCGGCGTCAGCTGGATTTGTTTCACATGGAATATTCCCGTGCTTCAAATACTCAATAACACCCGGAAATTCGCCAACACATGATGTTTATCGACATTGTAAACACAAAAGTAAACCAAAAGGTCCACACACGTTTTTGTGTCTGCACTCATTGACATAGAGTACGGGTACAGCAGTGAAATGTCATCAACCGGCCGTTTCGGCTGTCTCCCATGGTAGCATCTGGAACTGCTCATTTGTGACGTCATTCGGACTTTACGTCACAATATGATTTAATGACGTCATCACAGCTGACGACGAAACAATACAATGGTGTGAGCGATGTTTGTATGTATTAATACGCAGAGAATTTCCGGGAATCAAATACCATTTGATCACGTTTTTCAACCAATCAGATTAAAGAACACAGTGACTTTTGGTTTACAATTCACCGTGAGCGTCCCCTAAAATCCCCCATGAAATGAATTTGTATATTTCTGTCATGTAAACAAACACTGCACTGTAGCCTTACAAATGTCAGGCCAGTCTGACCACTGTCGTCATGGGAACACAACCGAGCGAGTCGGTGTAACACATTTGTACAACAATATTGCAACGTCGGTTCCAAATGAATTCCCGTGCTTCAAATACTCAATAACACCCGGAAATTGGCTAACACATGATGTTTATCTCCTAAGTGAACAATGTTCTGAAGCAAAAAGATACAAATATGTTTGATTTCACTGCGCATATTTGGTGGGGGATTCTAAAGGCAGGCTGCGTGTTATTCAGGCACATATTGAAAGCTCTGACACAATTGACATTTTTAAAGTCCAGACTTAAAACCTGTTCTCAGTTTATTACTTATAATCTCGGCTGTAAATACTCTCGTGTAAATTATCTGTACATGGCGCTTTGAGCATGCCCCAGGATGTGGAATAGGCGCACTATAAATATGCATTTATTATTATTATATTATGCCTGATAACCAGCGTTCACACGCGCTTGCACCTGAAACCAAGGTGCTCACTACCCTAATATTTTGCTCTAGCCTTTTTCTCCACGTTTACACTTGGCTGGAAAAATACCAATGAAGGCCCGGGTTAGAATATTGAACTTCAATAACCCATGCTTGTCGTAAGAGGCCAGTACCGGGATCGGGTGGTCAGGCTCGCTGACTTGGTTGACACATGTCATCTGTTCCCAACTGCGTAGATCGATGCTCATGCTGTTGATCACTGGATTGTCTGGTCCAGACTCGATTATATATAGCTAAGATACATAGCGTTCACTAACATGAACGCTCATGTTAGTGAACGCTATGCATCTTAGTTAGATTATTTACAGACCGCCACCATATAGCTGGACTATTGCTGAGTGCGGCGTAAATCTAAACTCACTCACTCACTCAGTTGGTTCGTAAACTACTTCCATCATTTGCTAGACTATACAAAGGGAGATAACTCGTGCCTCGCATTCCTCTATCTCTCGCACGAAAGAGTCTCGATCTAAGCTTGGATCGGATCGTAAGATCGGGACCGGCTACAATCGGCCTAAAATCGGTTAGTGGAACGGGTGTAACTTTTAGCTAAGACGATTGTAAAATTGGCGTAACTTGCTAAGATTGATCTTAGATAAGATCGGTTAGTGGAACGGCACCCAGGTTAATATCAACAGTTCTATTAACAAATGTGATGAGTCAGCGTGTGCCTGCGCCCCAAGAAAAAATCTTGTCGGGTTGAAAAAGTAAGTTTTATGAAACACTGCAAAGCTCATAACGACGAAGTTGTGTTTACAAGTTATCACTTTTCATGAATGGGTAATATCACTTGAGAGTTCAGGAGAGGACTGGAGCGTGTACGGAGGATTTCGGAATATAGTGCTTTCAACGCGAATTATTTAGTCATGAAAATGCATACGTACTGTTCCATCGTATGTCAGGGGCGGTGGGGTAGCCTAATGGATAAAGCCTTTGCTCGTCACGCCAAAGATCCTAGTTCGATTCCCGACATAAGTACAATAGGCGAGACAAGATCCTATGTCCTCAGCCGTGATATCGCTAGAATATTGCTGAAAGCAATACTCACTCACTCACTCTATCGTGTGACCCGTGAACATCCGGGTTAGAATTGGTCTTCAGCTACTCATGCTTGTCGTAAGAGGCGATTAACGGGATCGGGTGGTCAGGCTCGCTGACTTTGTTGACACATGTCATCGTATCCCAATTGCCTAAATCGATCATCATGCTGTTGATCACTGGATTGCCTGGTCCAAACTCGATTATTTACAAACCGCCGCCAAATAGCTGGAATATTGCTGAGTGCAGCGTTAAACAACAAACCAACCAACCAAATCCATCGTGTGTCTAATTAGCAATACGGTATTTGTCTGTACCTTGGACTGACTGACTGAGTTTAGTTTTACGCCGCTTTTAGCAATATTCCAGCAATATCACGGCGGGGAACACCAGAAATGGGCTTAACACATTGTGCCCATGTGGGGAATCGAACCCGGGTCTTCGGCGTGACGAGCCAACGCTTTAACCACTAGGCTACCCCACCGCCCCTCTGTACCTTGGAAGATTGAATGGAATCACTATCGACCATTCCGACGGACCCTTTAACCTCAGCTGCGAACGCGACAGCCACGTCGGGGGAGTTACGCTACAGCAAGTTTGAGTGTCTTCGAAGTCAATGTCACATCTTGCGGGCGCCGCCACTAGTGCAGATCTTGTGGTTGTAGTTGACAATCAACCAACATTCCTACGGAACCATGAACACCATGTTCGCTCAAGACAGCCACATGTAAAGCTATGTTTGTCTCATCGCCGCGTGGCAGCCGGAAACCAAGTGTGGACGAGGTAATCATTGTGAGTGTGAGTGAGTGAGTTTAGTGTTACGCCACTTTTAGCAACATTTCAGCAATATCCCGACGGGGGGACACCAGAAATGGGCTTCACACATTGTACCCATGTGGGGAATCGAACCCAGGTCTTCAGCGTGACGAGCGAACGCTTTAACCACTAGGCTATCCCACCGCCCCTCTTCGTGTTTAGAAACATGCCAGTTAACTTAAATGTTACGTCAATGTCCGCAAGCTGGGTTGACATAAAAAGGGCACCTTTACACATCGTCACAAGGTCAAAGTTCTTCCTTGAAAACGTACTAACGTGTAATGTGCTTCTCGATGCATACTCATGCCAGTGATGGTTAAATTTTTAAAATGGTTTAATATTTTCAACTTGCAAACACTAACATTCTCCCCAATACAAATATTAAACGTAACGCACGCATTGAATACAATATCGACTGTTCATGCTCCGTTAGATTACAAAAGCACACGTAAAAAGAAATGTCAACCAATCAATCGTCAGCTTCTGTCATTTTGTGTTGAGGTCGGATGTGCTACAAAGGCCTAAGCCAACATCAGTTGACATCCGGAATCCAATAATTGGAATGGGTCGGACAGAACCAGTGTACAACTTAATCTAAGTAATAATACAAGACAGAAAATGAAAAAGCTGCACCGGACACAACGGTCAGTGGTTCTTAGTCCAGGTGGTCCCCGAACAACCGCAGGACCTAATGGTCGTATCTTCTTCCGTCTGGAGCAACAACCGCAGGACCTAATGGTCGTATCTTCTTCCGTCTGGAGCAGCATAGGCTAACATCTAGTCTCTGAAATGAACATTCTTTACAGACTAAATGGTTCCTAAAATATATATATTTTAAATTCATAGAAAAGAACCAGACACTTTTTTCTTTTCTGAAACTGTTGAAATCTAGACTTGCCACACATTCTAGACTTGCACGGGCTGTACTGGGTATATTTGTTTCAGAGGCAGTATGACAGCCCAACCACCGTTTGTCCAGACGTCAGACATCAGTGGGGCCGTACTGTCAGTGTCAGACGTCAGACATCAGTGAGGCCGTACTATCAGTGTCAGACGTCAGACATCAGTGGGACCGTACTGTCAGTGTCAGACGTCAGACATCAGTGGGACCGTACTGTCAGTGTCAGACGTCAGACATCAGTGGGACCGTACTGTCAGTGTCAGACGTCAGACATCAGTGGGTCCGTACTGTCAGTGTTAGACTTTAGACATAAGTGGGACCGTACTGTCAGTGTCAGACGTCAGACACCAGTGGGGCCGTACTGTCAGTGTCAGATGTCAGACATCAGTGGGTCCGTCCTGTCAGTGTCAGACGTCAGACATCAGTGGGTCCGTACTGTCAGTGTCAGACGTCAGACATCAGTGAGGCCGTACTGTCAGTGTCAGACGTCAGACATCAGTGAGGCCGTACTGTCAGTGTCAGACGTCAGACATCAGTGGGACCGTACTGTCAATGTCAGACGTCAGACATCAGTGGGACCGTACTGTCAGTGTCAGACGTCAGAGATCAGTGGGACCGTACTGTCAGTGTCAGACGTCAGACATCAGTGGGTCCGTACTGTCAGTGTCAGACGTCAGACATAAGTGGGACCGTACTGTCAGTGTCAGACGTCAGACACCAGTGGGGCCGTACTGTCAGTGTCAGATGTCAGACATCAGTGGGTCCGTACTGTCAGTGTCAGACGTCAGACATCAGTGGGTCCGTACTGTCAGTGTCAGACGTCAGACATCAGTGAGGCCGTACTGTCAGTGTCAGACGTCAGACATCAGTGAGGCCGTACTGTCAGTGTCAGACGTCAGACATCAGTGGGACCGTACTGTCAATGTCAGACGTCAGACATCAGTGGGACCGTACTGTCAGTGTCAGACGTCAGAGATCAGTGGGACCGTACTGTCAGTGTCAGACGTCAGACATCAGTGGGACCGTACTGTCAGTGTCAGACGTCAGAGATCAGTGGGACCGTACTGTCAATGTCAGACGTCAGACATCAGTGGGACCGTACTGTCAGTGTCAGACGTCAGACATCAGTGGGACCGTACTGTCAGTGTCAGACGTCAGACATCAGTGGGACCGTACTGTCAGTGTCAGACGTCAGACAGACGTTTAACAAGGCTCATCGTTCAGGGACTGTGAGACAGGCTACCCTGAGGAAATCTACACTTGCTTCATTTAGAGCATTAACATTGCAGGGAGGGCTAGGCAGTAGGGAAAATAATATGGTTCGGGAAATGTGAGCCTGATAATTACACTATCAGTAAAATGACTATATACCATTCCCGTCGCCACGCCAACCGACGTCTCACGGGACATACAACAAAAGTAACTGTTCAACCTTGGTTGTTGTAACATCACCGTAGTCCTGCCCCAAACACTAGACTGTCCTGGCTGGTGGCTTTATTCATCTAAGCTGTATGCTAGTATTGATACAGATGATCTTGGGAACGTTTTTGTATTCTTGTTGCAATATTTCAGTCATAATTAAAGGTAATTAGGACTGACGACCATTACTGAAGAATTTATTCCAGACCATTAGAAACACTGGGATGAGCCTATTATTTCATCACATTCATAGGACTTTCTGAGGTATTCACTTGAGGATTAATTCATGAAAAGATAAATGGCATAAATTATTAACATACTGTTTGAAGACTTAAGGCAACTTTAATTTATTACGACCATAGTCGATTGTTTGTAACAGTGTCCTAAAACAATTTGTAATTAATTATTTCATTGTCGGCTGAGAACGTGTCTATCCATGATTTTCACACACACACGCAAAACAAACCACATTTCAGGTCTCCAAAGCACATTTCCATACAAAAGAAATGGCAAAACCCAGGGGATCGCTATTTTCGTTTCAGTGAACAATGCCAAAACACAATGAAAGCCATGTATAATGTACAGAGGCCATGTTTCATTTGGCAGACTGCGCTCTTGTGAGACAATTGGTTTCCCCGGACAGCGATCACTTTATGTTTATATATTTATATGTAGTCGTATTTTTGTATTGCGAGCATGTTTACCATGACAACCCTTGCGTGAGAAAACGTGTTAACATTTTGACAATAGCAAATGTGACCGGCTCTTGTGACCTGGTTACCTACTTCAAGGACTGATGATATTTTTCAGCATTAACCTCTGTCTTAAGTTGGTAATTTCATACGCTTTTAACTCTTTGCAGAATCCTTAGGGCAGGTAATACACTCTTCAAAAAAAGAAACGCACAGGCCACAAATAAGGAAATGTATTAAACGAATCTAAGTGTACATAAGTCGATTAAGCTTGAACATAGATGAAGGAAATTCGACACACGGATGGACATATGTATTGTGGTCACTGACAGAATTAATTTAGTTGACTCATTGTTCAGGTCAGTACCTGGTGACACCACCCCTTGCAGCCGTCGCTGTTCGACATCACCTTGGAAGGAATTGCACAAGTCGAAGAATTTTTGCTTGCCTAATGGGGAGTTCCTTGCCATTCCTCCTGCAACGCGTTGGCAAGTTTTGCAAGTGTCTGAGGAAGATGCGGACGTTTACGGACGCGTCGATCAAGTTCGATCGGGTTCAGATCAGTCGATTTGGAAGCCAGGGAAGGACATTGACGTTTACGTTGGCGAGATAGGCACCTGTTACACGAGCTGTGCAGGGTCGAGCGTTGTCGTGTTGAAACAGCTCCCCCTGGCGTTAAAATGTGGGAGGAGTTGCGGTCGCAGGATTTGATCGATGTAGCGATTTGCTGAAAGATTGCCTTGAACCACCACTAGCTTTGATCGACCGGTGTAGGAAATGTCTCCCCCACACCATGACGCTTTCTCCACCAAATCTGTAAACCTGTCGAACGCAGTTCGGCGCAAAACGTTCGTGTCGACGTCGATAGACACTTTATCTCCCATTCCCTCGTTGCAGGAGGAAATGCGATTCATCGCTGAAATAAACGCGTTCCAAGCGTTCCCCAGGTTCCATGCCTGTACCCTGTTGCACCATTGGACACGTCGTTGTCGGTGTAGTCGTGTCAGGACAGGTAAACCATTGGTTGATATGCTCGAATTCCCACTTCTCTCAGACGATTTCTGATGGTTTGGTCGCAATTTTTTCAAAGACAAATCGCTGACGATGAATCGGTCCTGAGCAGGAGTGGTCACTCTTGGTCTTCCACTTTTGGGACGATCTTGGGTCGAATTGAACCGGGTATATCGATGTCATAATCGAGATATGGTGCTGTGGTGGACGTTGAAGTGTCTTGCAACGGCAGACTGGGACTCCCCTGCTTCCACCCCTGCTTCCAAAGGTCCAATGGCGACATTTCGGTCAGTAGCATTAAATCGTGGCATTTTTCTTGGCATCTTCGTTTGCCTCGTAAATTTCGTAATGAAATGATGAATTTGGTTTGGCCTTATATAGTCGTTGTCTCTACTCGTGCATTACGCGGAAAATTTTTCTGCATGCAATTTCCATGTATCATTTTCATTTTTTATGACAAATGGTTATAAACACAGTTTGGGATACGTTTGCGCGCAATACACAACAACCACGACATGATTAACGTGATTCAAACATAGGAATTCTCTTAATGACGACTGCTGTCAAAATGTATCGAAATGAACTGCTGAAAACGCCTATGCGTTTATGCTTTTGAAGAGTGTACGGTGATCCAAGATACATTTCTAACGTTATTCCACTTTCCATCTAAAGGCATTTATGCGAGTGAGTGTGTTTAGTTTTATGCCGCAATAATCCAGCAATATCACGGCAGGGGACACCAAAAATGGGCTTCATGCTTTGTACTCATGCGGGGAATCGAACCCAGATCTTCGGCGTGACGAGCGAACGTTTTAACCACAAGGCTATCCCACCGCCCCCATTTTAGAGCTGGACAAAACATGGAAACAAAATACAGTTTCTGCCTGTGTTATTTAAAATGATGATTCAAGACTACATCTTGCCTTTCACTTGATGGAGTGGTGACCCGGAAATGCTACAAACAATAAATATGTTTACATACACCTGTAATCTTATCAAAGATCATGTTCTATCTCGATCTCTACGATCATTACATGTGTTGTCTATGCCGAAATGATACTCCAGCTGCTATGGTGACGGGAACTTCTCAAAAGGTAGATAGAGCGGATGGAGGGGAGGTATACAGGAGGTGAGGTGAAATGGGGTTTAACGTCGTGCTTAAGAATATTTCGCTCATATGACGACGTGCATGCGTGTGTATGTGCATGTGCTGCTTGTACTAGCCCAGACCTATGCTGGTTTAATAGCGCCAGCTCACTGAGATACCCTGCCGCAGTTAAGCATGAATACCCCACTCAGACACAGTATACTGACTCCGAGCCGACCAGTCCTTGTTGTACCCATTAATGCCGAGCGCCAGGCAGGGACCAACAAGTACCATATTTTAACGTCTGGTATGACGCGGCCGGGGTCGAACCCGCGACCTTCCGCTCTCCGGGCGGACGCACTTACCACAACACCACAGAGGCGGTAGGTATACAGGAATACTGGATAGATACAGTCAATGCACGGAGCAACAAAGGCAACATGTGCACGAGCTCAGACAAAGTGAAGCCAATGATGAATTATATATGGTACAATTCCAGCTTTTAACACTTAGTCTAGCACTATGGTACACTATAAACTCGAACTATAAAAGGTCTTTCGAAGTGTGAAGTCGATATATTTTCTGTTATCCACATTTACACAACACTTCGATAAAGTGAGTTATTCAGCATTGTAGCTGATAATTCATTCCACATGAACAATAACCTATTTCTTTGTCTGTGTGTATGCGAAAAATCTCCTGTCTCCATAAGTTGCTCGGTATGTAATCTACTTTAACATTCCTTTACATAATTCACTTTTAAAAAAGTTAAAACGTTTTAATTGTTTGTTGATAAAAAATCAATGTACTTTCAAAAATATGTTTGTTATAATGGTGCTTCACTAAAAAAATAAGGAGTATGACTAGTTTTATTGATAACCCCATACATGTTTCTTTAACACTGTGTTTTGAACGTCCTAGTGTGCTGAGCTTTGGTCGATAGAACACAAAGATCGGAACGCCACAACACAGTCCATGTGCACACAACTGGTTAGTTTTGAGTACATCCCAAAGGATAATGTTCCATTAGCATATTGGCAGATGGTAATGACGTATGGACTACAACATTTATACAAAAGGTTCCATATTACTAGTTTGTTCTTTTATCAAGGTCAAGTAGGTTCGTGGGCCTCGTTACATGTTTACATAAAGAACATCATTGTAATTTACATATTAACCTGAGATAAATACCTTTGGGAAATGACATACCTGCAGGGTAAACAAAGATGCCTGACTGGTAGTGACTGGTAGTCAATATTGATGATGTCAATATCAGGTTCGTGAGGACAACAAAGCACCGTCAGTGGTGCATGAATACAAGATGAGGTGGGGTAGCCTAGTGGTTAAAGCGTTCGCCCGTCACGCCGAAGACCCGGGTTCGATTCCCAACATGGGTACAATGTATGAAGCCCATTTCTAGTGTCCCCGCCGTGATGTTGCTGGAGTATTGCTAAAGACGGCGGAAAACTAAAGTTAACACACTCGTGAGTACTAACTGATAGACAGCAAGACGTCACTATATCATTTGAATGTGTTGAGAGAGTTAAGAGAGCTTGACAGTTTAAAAACCTTCATACGACTGTGAACAATGTGTGAACAAAAGACCTTTAGCGCTACACAATGTTATAATCCAGAGAAACTGGTAGTGACAGGGTTTTCCAAACTCATAGGTCTTTAACTTGCATTGGAACAGGTCAGAATCGGCAAGAGACGAATATCAGGAAGGAGGGTACTCCGAAAGACCAGGAAACTGTAGCTGAAAGGATTTCAGCAAGAATATGAGGTCGGTTTCATCTGAAATATGATTTCCTTAAGGCTGAAATTTATAGATACCTTGAGTGCGACGACATGCATTCCCTGGAGCAATACTGTTACTAGTTACGCCTGCAGTAGATATAGAGAATCTAAACCAAGTGTCTTCTGATATCAATTATATCAACACAAGTTGATAAAGTTACAAATATCCGAGGCTTGCCGAGGATATTTTTACTTTTATCAACGAGTGTTGATATATTTGATATCAG